AATCAGATTACCGAGTGTTTGGTGTTCTTTCTCTTTTGTATCATAGTCAAACATAAAAACACGTTCCCTGTTGTCACAATATGAAACCCCGGCAAAAATGAACCAATGAACGAACATCTGAATATGATATTTCTGTCGCTTTCCCTTTCTCTGCCGTTACAATATGTAAACCCCAGCAAAAATGAGCCAATCAATGGGCGTGCTCAGGAGTGCGGGTAACTAATACCCGCACTCCAGTTAACGCACTGTGCATGTATATGTATACGATTTAACCCTGACACATTTTCAACAGAAAGGTCCCCAAACTATGATACAATGTTAAGTTATAGAATCGAAAATCAGTAGGTTTGGAATAATAATTTGTTAAATGAGCCAGAGAACAAGGCTAGTATTGTTCTTTTCCTAAAATTATGTAATTGCGTAATGGGCGAAGGAAAGACATTGTATCTTTCCTCGTGTTAACTTCTGAGATTAGAGGCTACATATTTTACTTAATCGTTTTATTTTTTGTTGTTGTTTTTTTTTTTTTTTTTTTTTTTTTTCGTTTTTTTTTTTTTTTTGTTTCTTTTTTTTTTTTTTGGAGAATTTTCCACAAAATCCTGTGGTCATACAAGCTTTTTTCAAGACACAGCAGGCTGTCTAATATTAATGTGGTCCACAATTAATATTGGACTTACACATTAATATTGGACACCTACCTGTACTGTATTAAAAATACAGTACAGTCAGAACAAAGGAATGACGTCATAGTAGTAATTTATGTTGTTATAGATGCTGCTGTTGAATAATATCTACCGTATTATGTTCCGATCTGACTTTACGTTTTTTCATATTCCAAACATTAATATATAACCATTCATATTTACGATCCAATGTCAACACATTTGCTATATCATTTACCGGGGGTTGAATGGATTTCATTTCGCCAACGAAATAGGCATATGGTTTAGATGTGATAATTAATATCGTTTTCATTCATTTACGTGTGACATATGTTACAAAAATATAAATTGAACTATTTGACATTGCTATTTTCCTATGTTATATACATATTTTTAACATTAATCGTATCTGGCCTCTACGAAACGGACTTTCCGCCAACGAAATGGGCATTTTGTTTCACTAATTATGGCTTAACTGTGAAATAAAATCATTTGTATGACTTAACTCGTAAAAAAAGCCATGAAACTACAAATAAAACAATTTGATTGCTGCGAAAATGAAACTTACGACATACTTTCATGCCAAAGATAAACAAAATAACTGAACTCCTTCAAAAGTTATGCTGCTGACGGACAGACAGACGGATGGACGTACAACGCCATACCATACTACGCTCCGAAGGTCTTCGGATGTATAAAATTATTCAATAAAATAGACCTACTACTTACTGAACACAAAGTCACGGCTCAAAAGAATAATGCAAACTGAAAATATACAACCAGTGAATGTAATGATAATGACAAACGAAAATAATGTGTAATCTTTCAAATTTACAAATGACATTGAAAAACTGAAATTTTAATATATTTATTTGCCTTTATTAGATGACTGCAAAATTCTTTGCTATTTCTGTTTGTACTGACATAGTAAATAAAACAATTTTCAATACTTACAGTTAACAATAACTTTACATGCATACACTATAAGAGAGGGCTGTATGATAAGTTTGTAGATTATGGTTATATAATTCTTATATCTTTGAAAAGATCTTTCTGATAATTCACCGTTACGAAGCTGCATACGTAACTTAAAAAAATATTGCAACACGTTGTCATAGTAACGTCACCCGGAGGCCGGAGCACTCACCTCTAACATAATATTTGATATTGCTTACATTTAATGTATTAATTTTACTTCGTTACCAGCAAAATGATAGTAATTTGATACAAAAGATAGTTTATTGTAAAAACAATGTATTGTTGAACGGCAGAAGTATAGTATGTGTCTTAAGAAATAATCGGAAATATGTACTGAAATTATTGAAAGAATTAGATAAAATTATCTTATGCGAGTTTCTGGTGATCATGATTCATTGTATTTTTTTTTTTGTTGTACGAGTTCAATAAATTTAGTAATGAAGTTACATGAATCATCACATATACAAAATAAAAACTGTCTAAAAACAAATGAACAACTTTCGTTAAAAAGTAGTCGAATTTATAAGAAATATGACATATCATCTAATATATAATGTATAACATCAAAATTACAAATTTGAAAGAACACAATTTCTATTGTAAATTTCATTATGAGAAATAAATTGCACATTTTTGAGTCAAGAAATATGTAGTGAATCAAAGATCATGTACTGATTAAAATAATCATATAAAACTAATAAATAGAGGATATTTGTTTAGTTCAGTGTATGATCGGAATATATTTCACCGAGTGAGCACCAAAAGGTATATTTCACGAGTGGCGCAGCCACGAGTGAAATATGAACTTTTGGTGTTCACAAGGTGAAATATATTTCGATCTTACACTAAACTGAACAAATTTTCTTTTTATTATATGCAAATAAACGTTTTAAAAATACATTAAATCTAATACTGAATGAAAAGCGCGCCAAATAATTATACAACGTGACGTCATTTACGACGTCACGTCATTAAGTTGGTACTCAGTACTGTGCACGCTGGTATTTCACTGAAACAACGTAAGGGGCTTAAATTCAAAACAGTGAAATTATCAAAGTGGTAATTTCACTGTTTCAAATAGTGAAATTACCAGTTTTCTATCACTGATATATTTCTATAAACCACCGAAAAGCATGTAATAATACCGATTAAAATAAAATATGCTGTTCCAATTAAAATGTGAATAATCATAAACAAGTGTCATAGAATTGCACTTATATTAAGCATCTTTGCGCACGACTTTTCAATTAGCATGTTAGAATATCAAAAGCACAAAAGCCGGGCTGGCCACAGGAAATCTAAACTAAAAAGAAAAATAACCCATTCTATCGTATGTATACATAGTTTCTAGTTATGCAACCTTTACGCTTGAAATACAAAAAATCACTGCCTGACTTACTTATATATATTGACAGGGTTCAGGCGCTAACTATTGTTACTGTAGTTCGACTAACTGAGGTGAACCCTCACCATATGCGCTGTCTCTCCGGTTTTCCAAATGGAACTGGACATGCGCAGTGCATTGAATACAGGCAGACAATAGTTTGCGTCTGAACCCTGCTATGAAAGTACAGAGGTTATTTTATTTGTAATATAGATGCTATTTATTTTATTACGACAAGACCGTTGACGCGAACAGTAAATGGAAAATAATCGGACATACATGTTTGGATATAGATATATCACAAAGAAAAGGTAATGTTTTGAAAATCTTATTTTGAAGTTTTATAGAAAACTATTTTTTCTAATCACTTTGATTTTTATTCACAATAAATTAATAAATACTGACAACTGATTGTATTTGTAAAACTATTAATAGATTCAAATGTTATGCATGCAAGTTATAGGAACTTAACATCAACGATGACATTTTTTATTATTTATTTATTTTTTAATATATTATTAATTTTATTTCTTCTTTTTTTTTAATTTGATGTAAACATTTAATTATTGTACGTTAATATTTATTTATAATGAAGTTCAACATTTATGTTGATTTTATAGCAAAATTATCATATCTTTCACGGTAAAAAAAATCAATCCACTCAAAGTACTTGTATATTTATTTTTATAAATTAAGAAAAAAAGTATAATGCACAATAAAAATAACAGTTTGATTTTCATGATTGTGACGGCGTCTCGACCAGTCGCCAAACGGGAACAATTTTGGGTCATGTGATAAATAGAGGATATCTTTTGAGTGCAGATTTAATACAAAATTAGTCGAACAAGTTGGATAAATTTATATCATGCGAGCCTTTAGCTAGCATAATGTTGTTTTATTCAACTAGTTCAATGAATTAAGTATTAAATACACATAAATATAATATTCTATTTATCTCATGTCCGTAATAAGAAACTTTTGCCTTTAATCAAAGCGCTGAAAGCACTGGATGTGACGATTGTGTCAATGCTGTCACAAGGGGGCAAAACCAGTCAAAGTCCATATCATATTTAAGAACTTGGAAAATGACCTCTAAATATGGTCACTAAGACATGTTTCTTGAAAATTTATGTTGCACAAAGACTTTTCTCAGAGTAAATCGAGCCGGAGAGGGCCACTTTCAAATTCTAAAGTTTTATTTGCTTTGGAAAGTAATCTCCAATTATGATCCCAATACATATATCAAGTGAATACCTTCAGTTCTTTTTGTACAAACCTGATGTTGCATAATAAAGTTTCAAATGAATACTACAAGTACATACATGTTGTTCTCGAGACTGATGATGCTTCCAAGAATTTTCTAACTTCACAAAAAGTCATTTAATTCAGTCTAAAAAGAGTACAAAAGATCCATATCAAATCCATATTGTACTCGAAGTATCATATCTTTTATATGATGCACACTCTGTTGATTCTGAGTGTTTTCTTTAATTTAAACGTGTTGTTTTCTAATTCTTTTAGAAATTGTGAAATGAGGAAAGAGTTCAGTGTCGAGTATCATATTGATTCTATTGAACTCGTACACAGCTGTGAAACCTTTATTGGACGCGGCTAGCACCTCGACATATTTAGAAATTACAGCTGTGTACTGGTACAATAGAATGCAGTATGGTACTCAACAACGTATAATAACCTAATGATAATGCAAAATGAATATAACAGCCTCCAAAACTGGATGCATGACGTCTAAATGCATCATCGTACACGTACATTTGAATAAAATGTTTTGTTAGACGAAAGGCTCTTTTATTAAAAAAGGTACATTCAAAAGTATCCATGAAATAAAATACGGGTATTAAAGTATGTATAACTAGCCGTGTTAATTTTCACGACTTTTCAAAATGACAGCTTTTAAAGTGCAAAATAGTATCCTTAAGTTGCTGAAATGCGAAAACATAACTCTATTCTAGCGGTTCGATACTGATCATACAAGGAGACATGCCATGAATGCTTTCCAGAACATGTGACGTCATTAAATATGGAGGGAATGGGAAAACAGTGCCCAGGAAGACAAAACGTCCGGTTTCTGGTCATATTTGTCGCTGCATTTTCTGTCGTCTTCATCTGTAAGTATTGAATCTATATCACAATTTTACATGAATTTTTTTTAGATATAGCGCTTATCAATGAATCCGATATTAATTAAGAAATAACATCGGCCTGAGAGGTGTATATCGGGGTATTTAACACCCCTTTTGGGGTTTTGAGGGATAATTGACCCCGAAGGCCGTAGGCCTGATGGTTTAAATTTTGTGCACAAAAGACAAAAACCCGGGGTTAATAGCCCATAACACCCCTCAAGGCCGATGTTTTTTCCCATTCTAACACGATGAAAAAAGGAAAATCACTAATGTTATTTTTCAAGCGGAAATAACTTCCGGTGCCGATTTTCGTATAACGCTGTTCGATTTCCGCACCCTACTGTTGCGAAGTTATAGAAATTATTAAACAAAAGAAATAATAAGAAAAAAAAACGTAATTTATCAAGTTTTCAACAATAAAAACTTACGTCGTATTGTGTTTACATCAGTGCCCCATTTATCATGCTTGTATGTATGAAATAACGTCAGCTTGTTTATAAATGAGTTGTTTACTTAGGATGACGTCATTATGCTGCTTACGGTTGGCGCCGTTTTGTCAAAATATTTATTAACTGATATGGATCTAATAGGTGGCGTTAGTGTATGTGAGATATTATTTCGGTATGGTTTGAAAAGAAAACATTTTAAGAACTGAAAATTTAAATAAAAATGCTTTTTATTGTTGCTTTAAAATGCTTTGTAAACTATACAATCGAGGGTGAAAACATAACAGCGCATATTCAAGTAGTCCCTAACCGGTGTTTATTGTCCGTTTAACACCAGTTTTTGTCCTTCTTTGTCTATAGTGACAAAATCACGTGAGTGTTAGAATAAGATTTATTACATGCTTTTCGGTGGTTTAAAGAAATATATCAGTGATATAAAAACTGGTAATTTCAGTGTTTGAAACAGTGAAATTACCACTTTGATAATTTCACTGTTTTTGAATTTAAGCCTCTTACGTTGTTTCAGTGAAATACCAGCGTGCACAGAACTGGGTACCAACTTTTATCCTGTCACTTGTATCAATTTCGGCCCGATAACAAGGTGCCGTATATTTTTACTGATCTACGGCACTTGATCACGTGGTATGCATGTTTGCCGGACTACTTTTCAAGAAAAAATATAAAAACTGTCGTTAAATCTTCTGTGTGTAGAATAACGAATTTTGGAAAGGTTGATACAACTTTGTTTGTTTATCTTATTTCACTCTATATTTTTTCAAGCGAAATAAAAATTATTAAAAGTGAAATAAATGTAAAACTTAACTCGTTTGCGACATTAAAATAGCGTACTTGATTTGATTGTTTTGCACGTGCTGTTTGGCGCTACATTGTGACGTCACGTAAACAATACTTTAAACGTCTGTACAGCGTTAACGACTGAATAAAAGATTTTGGTGTTCGAATTCATTTTCTTAGTTAGACCATTTTCTTTCATTCTAGATAGTTTTCACAACAAAATTCGACAAAAAATTGTTTTTATTTATCACATTTTTTCAAACAAAATGGCGCCCTCAATGTGAACATACACAGGGCGATAATAAGAACGGCGAGTGCATTGTTGTAGAATAATGCACGCTTCAGGCCTTCTTTGTTTATATAGAAACATTTCCGATAGTGTGATTAAAGGTAGATCTAGTTTGCCTAATAAAAATCGTTAAAAAAACGGTGACAGGATAAATAGAATAATAGATTGGTGCCGTGGATGGAGAAAGTTTATCTGGCTCTGCTCCGGAATTTATTGGCGAACCGGGTTCGCCTTCGGCTCACCCAATAAATTCCTCCGCCTCGCCAGATAAACTTTCTCCATCCAGGGCACCAACCTATTATTCTCTATAATGACGTGACGTCGTAAATGACGTCACGTTGTATTATTATTTGGCGCGCTTTTCATTCAGTATTAGGTTTAATATCTTTTTAAAACATTTCTTTGCATATAATAAAAAGAAAATTTGTTTAGTTTAGTGTAAGATCGAAATTTATTACATGCTTTTCGGTGGTTTATAGAAATATATCAGTGATATAAAACTGGTAATTTCACTGTTTGAAACAGTGAAATTACCACTTTAATAATTTCACTGTTTTGAATTTAAGCCCCTTACGTTGTTTCAGTGAAATACCAGCGTGCACAGTACTGGGTACCAGCTTAATGACGTGACGTCGTAAATGACGTCACGTTATATTATTATTTGGCGCGCTTTTCATTCCGTATGAGGTTAAATGTCTTTTTAAAACGTTTCTTTGCATGTAATAAAAAGAAAATTTGTTTAGTTTAGTGTAAGATTAAGAGGATATTTTTTCGTTTCGTGAAATATGGAATATATTTTCACGAAACATGATAAAATGCCACATATTTTCACGAGCCGGTACGGCGAGTGAAAATATGTCGCATTTTATCATGTTGAATGAAAATATATACCATATTTCACGAAAAACGAAAAAATAACCTTTTTATTTAATTTCATTATCAAAGAAAATGGTAACGAATCCCCTTGCTTGCTACCAACAGCAATTGTACAGCGCGCAGTAATTTATGCGTAAGCACGCGCTGTTTGGCGCTACATTGTGACGTCACGTAAACAACTTTTTAAACGTCTGTACAGCGTTAATGTCTGAATTAAAGATATTGGTGATCGGATTAATTTTCTTAAATAGACCATTTTATATCAATCTAGATAGCTTTCAAAACAAAATTAAACAACAAGTTGTTTTGCATTTATCAGAATTTTCAAACAAAATGGCGAAAGAAGTCCCTTAAAATAAACATGAGTTTTGACTCCGCCCACTTTCATATTTATATTTCATATTTATTTTTAAAAAATATGAAATATATTTGACTGATATAGCACCATATTTTATGGGTAAAATTAAATAATGAAATATATTTCACCTTGTGAACACCAAAAGTTCATATTTCACTCGTGGCTGCGCCACTCGTGAAATATTCCTTTTGGTGCTCACTCGGTGAAATATATTCCGATCTTACACTGAACTAAACAAATATCCTCTATATATTTCACCTTGTGAACACCAAAAGTTCATATTTCACTCGTGGCTGCGCCACTCGTGAAATATACCTTTTGGTGCTCACTCGGTGAAATATATTCCAATCTTACACTGAACTAAACAAATATTCTCTATATCATTTCTGGCGGTTATACATGTACGAGCGTGTGTAGCGGTTTTAAACAATCGTCCGGTTCCCGAAATACTCTATGACATTCGGAACTCCTCACTAATCATCAATTATCACCACTAGAAATAATCAATTTATTTACAGAATTTCTTTTTTCTTCAAAAGTTATATTTAATATTATACATGTATAATTTGGCTTTATCGTAAGAAAAAAGAACTTTTAAGATTCAGTAACACAAAAATACATAAAATGTGTAAGCTATGATAAGAATATCCACAATTAAGACCACTATGGTCCAGTCCCGATAGTGATCTTAATTGAGGGTTTTTACTGTATATACGTAATATCAAAATTTCGAAATACTATTTAGAAATAGGGTGGTGCACGTAAAAATAAATCAATCAATAAGTCAATAAATCGTTTTATAACATGCTTTTCGGTGGTTTATAGAAATATATCAGTGATATAAAACTGGTAATTTCACTGTTTGAAACAGTGAAATTACCACTTTAATAATTTCACTGTTTTGAATTTAAGCCCCTTACGTTGTTTCAGTGAAATACCAGCGTGCACAGTACTGGGTACCAACTTAATGACGTGACGTCGTCAATGACGTCACGTTGTATTATTATTTGGCGCGCTTTTCATTCAGTATTAGGTTTAATGTCTTTTTAAAACGTTTTTTGCATATAATATATAGTGCTCACTCGGTGAAATATATTCTGATCTTACACTGAACTAAACAAATATCCTCTATATATTTTGACCGAATAATAACAACCCATTAATATAACAACATACTGTTTCTTAAACATTTGAAATCTGTATGAAATATCAATATTCTAGATGATTTCCAAATAAATTAAGTTAATGCAATCTAAATTATACTGTATAGCTTTAAATTATACTGTATAGCTTTGACATTAAATACTTAAATATATTCCATTGTCAACCGACTTCATGTCAGTTTACGTTTGGTTGTTGATGTAAATAGTTATGTTTGTAGGCCTATTATTGAATAACAAATAACGAACAAAGTGATCATTAGAACAGAGCAGAATAGAACAGAAATTTTATTAACGTATAGTATACATGTTGCAACAATATCAAATAAAATTAAATACATCTGTATAAAGTTAAACACGCACTACCAATGTCCAATTTATAACCGAAATAAAAAATCCATTTCTTTACGATCATATGAAATTGAGTTGCATAGAACAACCGATAAATCAGAATGTAACTTTTTTAACAATAAAGGCACAGTATGCTTATAGACTAATTTCCCTACAGAGAGGGAAACATGTGTTTAATAATGTTGTAATAATTGATTTTGAACATTTGAGATGTTTATTACCTGATAAAAATTGTATTGAATGTAAAAAAAAATTGTAACAGAGGTCGTCTTTTATACCTGTTCATAAATGACAAGAATATTTATTTCTATTAAATGATAATTTACGCTTATTTTTTATTAGATACTCTGACTGGTAACGAAAAATTCAACGAAAGTTTACTGGACAACTTGAAACGTTTTCAACTGAATGCTGTGTTTAGAAAAGACAGTACCTTTACATCAACTTCCGGTGACAAAACCGGAAGTGCGATAAAAGAATCTGCATTTTTAGCGGCTTCACTAAACAACAAAAGTATGTAAGTTTAGGTTTGAGACTAATATGGCAAATGCTCGTAATCAATGTAAGAATAGTTATATTTAAAGATGTTTAACACAGAATTTTTTAACGCAAATTGTATACTTCCAGAATTTATAGCGTGGTAAATATTTTCTCTTGTTGACCCTGTTGGTATTAAAATTTCAAAAGCCCATTCGTCTAAATGATAATGGCTAGAATTTAGATCAAATAATTACACATTCATATCTTCATAAAAGCAATTTGATTAATGAAACCATATTTGATTAATTTCAGAACGAGGCAACTTTACTGCCGTCATTTTGTTGACGTACATGCGCAGCGGGTCCTCATTAACCGGGGAAATCCTGCAACAGCCAAACGACACGTTCTACCTGTTTGAACCTTTAAAAAGTATCGAACACATCAAGATGAAAAATTGGTCAATTTCTTACTTAAACGGAACTGTGATGTACGTAATAAACTATTCAAGACGGGTTAACATTTTCCCCGATCTTTTCTTAAATTCTTCAGTTAAAAGTTGCTCACCTACAGGTTTTATTTATATAGGACTGATCTTTGGAAAGTAATATGTCAAACATGACTGTATTAATGTTTAAAACTCACAACACAAGTGTCCATTTGCGAAATTTATGCAAATAATAATATTTACTTCATGTGATTTCGTCAAATTTTCTGAAGTGCTTTATTTACATGCAATATTGGCTTCAGTTAATAACAGTTTTCTTCTTTTTCTTCTCTACATATTGTTTATATATCTAATTAAAAAATTTATTTATCATTTAAGGGCAAACGGAAGCTTTAACTTGCAAGCTGTGTATTTGGAGAATTTGATTGGTTGGCTGACATGTAATTTCTCCAGAGTGTGTATTGAATCGTTATTGGATACGGAATTTCTTCAATATAGTAAAAAACTGATACCATATTTGAAATGCATCGACGGGGGTGGCCTCGGTAAACCAAGTTCTCAAAGGGTGTCATTCCTACAAAGTGCAAATGAAGTTGAAACCGAACAGTTTAAAAAGTGCTTACAGGAAATGCGAAATGTTTGCTTACAGTCGAAGTACAGAATTGTGAAAACGATCCGAACAAAAATGTCGTCTGCTGTGGAAGTTTTACAACAAGTTGCTGCAAGTAAGGTTATTCATTTAATAAGGGATCCTAGGGCAACAATCGAGTCCAAAAGTCACAGAAATGTGTGTAGTTCGGGTTTGAACATGTGTATAAGAGAGCATTGCCGAAGAGTTTGGGAAGATACTGAGTTTAAAGAGCGTCTGGAATCAAGTAGGCGCTTTCATACAGTTAAATACGAAGACATTGCAAGCCGACCCATTATGTCGGCGAAATCTATGTACGATTTTATTGGAATGTTTTTAACACCAAAAATAACAGAGTATGTCTATGATATAACTTTAGGAAAAAATAAATCTAGTTGTAAAGTTTGTAAAACACGATGGCAAATTGGAGGTACCAATTTGAGCTCCAAATCTCACGTAGACGCTTGGAAAAGCAAGCTGCCAGGAAAGTTTATTACGAGTACACAACGACTGTGCAGTGACGTTTTAAGATATTATGGATACCAAAATTATGCTGTTCCCTACACAAAGGAAAGAAAAACTGACAAAATGCTTAGAAAGTTTCCTACAAATAATGCAATTATATAAAATATAACAACTGGCAATATGGTTTAAAGGCACATTATGCCTCAGTAACGAATATATTTTTACTTTCATATAAAGTGCAGACATTAATTTTATCACATTTAAATATTGTTAATTATTATCACATTAAATATGGTATTAAAGTATGTTAGATGCTTGTAACATGCTCTAAAAAAAAAAGCACTAATTGTGAAATAATTTTCACAATAGTAACAAAATATAAACAAAGTACTAGTAGTTAAAAATGCTTATTCCACTAATTTCAAAAAAGCAACAAAAGAAAAGAATGGTTAAATCAGGGTCTTTTATATTTAAAACACCCTTGTTCAGGTTATTGGTCAATGATTATCTTTTTGGAAACTATAGAAGTACACTTAATAAAAAGCTTGGTAGAAATATTCAAAACAAGAAGTATTTTTTAAAAAGATACTCGACCGAAGTAAAACTTGTTAGCATGCAAAATTATGCTATTTCTAAGTGTTTAAAATGAAAAGGAATGTTAGCAACACTTGCATAACAATGACATAATAGTTATTTCTTGTAATTAAAGGAAATACCCATTTTGTAAGCATTGCAATTATATTATAGCATATTTATATTGATGATTTTTCAAAGTAGGACAACTTCTGATTTAGGTGTCCCTTTAACTTGTTTTACACTAGACTTTATAAATTTTGAAATCATTGACAAATTAACCAAAAAGTTAAGAACTATCCTCAATCCTGTACATTTTGTTTTAGAACTATCCTTTACATTTTATTTTATAGTGGCAAAACTATTTCTTACATTTTATTTTAGAGCTATCCTTAAAATTGTATTTTAGAATGGTTAAAACTATCCTTTACGTTTTACTTTAGGATGGTTAGAACTACCATTTACATTTTATTTAAGAATGACCAATGAGATTTTCCAATTTCATTTTGTAATTCTAAAATGACCAATGAAAATTCTTTTCATATTCAGTCCTGGAAGTCAAACTGATAACAGACGGACTTCGTCCGAAAAAAAAAACTGCCAGTTTTTTAATGACACTATATATTAATATTGTACGGAATGCCGTTAGGGCCATCGCCTATGAATGTGTTGATCTGAAACGCGATAGTCGATAGTACGATGGTGAAAACGCGAAATCACGAAACTACGATGGTGAAAACGCGAAATTACGATGATGAAAACGCGATAGTACGATGATGAAAACGCGACAGTACGATACTACGATGATGAAAACTTTTCGTGATTTCGCGTTTTCATCATCGTACTGTCGTGTTTTCACCATCGTACTATCGCGTTTTCATCATCGTACTGTCGTGTTTTCATCATCGTACTATCGCGTTTTCACCATCGTATTGTCGTGTTTTCATCATCGTACTATCGCGTTTTCATCATCGTACTTTTGCGTTTTCATTATCGTATTATCGCGTTTTCACCATCGTAGTTTCGTGATTTCGCGTTTTCACCATCGTACTATCGACTGTCGCGTTTCAGATCAACACATTCATAGGCGATGGCCCTAACGGCATTCCGGAATGCCATTCGGGCCATCGCCTATGAATGGTTTGATATGAAACGCGATACTCGACAGTACGATGATGAAAACGCGAAATCACGAAACTGCGATGGTGAAAACGCGACAGTACGATGATGAAAACACGATAGTTTATCGCATTTTCATCATCGTAGTATGGTACTGTCGCGTTTTCATCATCGTAATTTCGCATTTTCATCATCGTTATTTCGCGTTTTCACCATCGTAGTTTCGTGATTTCGCGTTTTCACCATCGTACTATCGACTATCGCGTTTCAGATTAACACATTCATAGGCGATGGCCCTAACGGCATTCCGTAATATTGTGACCACTAACTTTAAACATGACATATCTACTTTGTATCAAGTCAAAACGTGTTTATTTCATATATACAAAGAGACTTTGTAGGAATTATAAAAAAAATTAATATAAAATTTGAGCATAGTATATGTTTAAATTGATAGTAAAAGAACTTATGAATGTAGATATTTCGTTTCCAGGCTCCTTAAGATCAATCAAAAATTAGACGCGTTTATCTTTATTTTACAAAAAAAAGTCAGTTAGAGTAACCTCTCCTGATAACAATGCAAATGGCGTAAGGGTTCCACAGAAAGGTGACTGTTGCAATCGTAACAGCTCGACAATGGACCTTTCCGGTGTTTACAGATTTATGTATGGCTAATTTTTTATCCAGTTGCTACACTGAGATAGTACATAGTCACTGGTTGACCTGGTTTGCACAAAAGAACACATGGTTATGTTTGCGATATTGTTTGTGAGCAGTTGATCTAGCAATGAATGGAAAAGGTGTGGCTAAATGTTCCGCTACGAAAAACCGGAAAGGTCCATCTCCATCAAGTTCGGAGATCGAATTCTTGAAGTCGCCCGAGGTGTTCCGATTGACACAGGTAAATCAACCATTTTTAAAATAGTCAGTCAAAATTGCGCATCCCGTATAACTTCCCAAACTCCTCACAGTGATTACCTCCCTTGGCAGAATTGTAATCACTGCCTTCGCAGACGTCACATGGCGTAAGGGTTCAAAGAGAGGTAACCGTTACGCTAAAAAAAGAGTCAGAATGACCTCCCCTGAAAACATTACAAATGGCGTAAGGGTTCAAAGGGAGATAACTATTACTAAAAAGATTTTGATTAGAGTGACCGCCCCTGATTACATTGCAAATGGCGTAAGGTTTGAAAGGGAGGTAACTGTTGCGCTTTAAAGCAAGTTGATTAGAGTGACCTCCCCTGACAACATTGCAAATGGCGTATGGGTTCTAAAGGGAGGTGACTTTTGCGCTATAAAAGATTGGGTAAGAGTGACCTCCCCTGATTACATTGCAAATGGCGTATGGGTTTGAAAGGGAGGTAACTGTTGCGCTTAAAAGTAAGTTGAGTAGAGTGACCTCCCCTGATAACATTGCAAATGGCGTAAAGGTTCTAAAGGGAGGTGACTGTTGCGCTATAAAAGATTTGGTTAGAGTGACCTCCCCTGATAACATTGCAAATGGCGTAAGGACTCAAAGGGAGGGAACTTTTGCGCTCCATAAAAGACTCGATTAGATTAACCTCCCCTGAAAAAAATGCAAATGGCGTAAAGAATATTTTTTTATTTCTCCTAATTATGATTTTAAAATCTGAACCCAAAACGCCTTTGTTATTAGAGATTTTCGACCATGCGACCACATACATGCATCGAGGACATGTTTGAAGGAAAGTGACCGTGCGACCACATACACGCATCACAAGATTCCACTTCTCTTACGAGAAAGGGACAAAGAGTTGTCCGCCCTTTTATTAAAGGTTAGACTTTAAAAAACCTTTGCCTTATGCTATTGATAAGGAGGCTAATTTACACAGATGTGGCTTGAATTGGTTTATATACAACATGAGTAATGCCAACCATGCGGGTTATCAGTTTACGTCTTTTTAAGTCCGCTATAAAATTTTAAAAAGATCATATATAACCTCTTTGAAAATTTTATGTTTAAAGTTTTTTCTACTTCTCATTTTATGCATATAACAGAATTATTATAATTTTGCAAAACAGGAACGTTTGAAAAACGTTTTATATGCGTTAAATATTGGAGATATATTTCACACGTTGTTTTCACATATTAACCTGGGGGCATTTTTGCCGAAGTACTGTCCAAGGACGATAACTTGAGCCTATGTTTACATAAAAATTAATAACAATGCGAAAAAATAGGTAAAGCAGACTGAAGCCTAATAAATGAAACACAAAGTAAAACGTCATATTTTCATGTGCCTTGATAGCGCAGTAGGCAGAGCGTCCGTGTCAGTGTTGTTTCATGCATTTAGATGCTCGTATCATAGTTAGGTACCATTACATTTGAGTGTTTTATGTATCTTTTCTTATTTGACCAGTTTTGTTTCAAAGAGTTACAAATGGCATTATGAGAAATGTTACTAGAAATATAATGAAATGAAGTGTGTTATATATTGATCCATATATATTCAAATTAATATTAATATTTCGTAATCGTAGTGTGTCTAAAATTGATTGAAATAAAATTTTAAAAAAATGACTTGAAATATAGTTAGTTTCTTAAGAGTGGAACAAAAATTAAATAAAAAAAGAAACATAAAATGGAAATAGAAATTTATTAGAACCAAATACATGCGCATATTCAAATGATTATACAAAAGACAGACAAAGTGTAAAAGGGAGAAAAACAACACCACCAACAATAACAACAACATCATAGTAACATGACATAACGAATGATTCAAACATATAAGTGCAAATCATTAAAAGTTACTTTGACGTTGATTTACCAAGTGAGCTTCTATACGACGGTACACATCTTTTAGAATTAAACTATATATAATAATATGCAGACTTACCCTTTATTGGAATTTTCCAACAATTAATATGGACAATACACATTTAATTTCTATATTCGACTTATTCTACTTGAAAAAGAAAAGGTAATGTGATGGGCTGCAAGAAAAAAAATAGATTAAACTTGAGCAGCACGCAAATATGACACTGGTAAGACTACATACATGTATTTGCAAGTCTTATCATACCTGCTGAATTTGATCGTTACAAAAGTATGAAGTAGGCAGAAAAGTTGCGATAATGCAGTCACGCAGACCTTCATCCGTGTGACGTCAATTAACGACCTCCTCGAGAAAATTCCTTATCAAAAGAGATACCTTATTTTCAGCTACATCTACCCTTCATACCTTAAATATACAATGCATACGTAGATACTTTATTTTATTTTTTCCTTTCTTTTTTTAATTCTTTTTTTTTCTTCAGAAAATAGCTGAATATATGGAAGATATCCTGTTGATAAGATTTCAATTCAGTGATACAAGACTATCTAGATCTAGTTCAACGACAGAGACCCAGGCCTTAATACCTAAATTGACATTACGTCGCCTGCTGGTCAAGCTAGTAGGGGTCTTACAAATCAGCAAATCATCGATAGAGGAGTTTCACATTGAGGTCATTTTTAAAATGTGCAGTTATTTTATTATTAATTA